GATTCGATATTAAATTCATCAATGAACATAGGAATTCTATGTCGAGGAGGATTGAGAACAATCTGTGCTACATGATAATTGGTAGCTACACAAGTAGGTCCTACTCTATAACATGTACCATTCCCTTTACCTGATACACATCTAGCAACGCCCTTTACTGCCTTCACCAGATTAATAGCATTTTCAATGAAAAAAGCCTTTCCATCTTCAGAAATAAATGAAGATTTCAAAGCTTCGAGAAGATTTTCAACAGTTATTTCATTTGGTAATAGAAGAATATCGAGTGTTACATCAATATTATCATCATTACTGGATAAGCAAGGTGCATTGAGAGCTGATGCAGATATGTGATAACGTCCATGAAGACATATAACATCTGATCGTTCGCGCATGAAACGCATTATTGAAATAAAATCAACAATATATTTTTGCACAATATTTCTTCTGGCATAAACAACATAGAAATGAGAAAACGTCACAGTTTTATTCGTAAGAAAATATCAACTTCATCGACAAAATTTTCCAAATTCATTTGATTTGATTATGTATTGTATTTGATACGACTATGATATGTTTGTTTGTTTGTTTTTAAGTCGATTATAGACAGTCCTCTTTAGCAATAACTACTTTTTCATCGGACAGATGTGTGTTCTATTGCATCGTTTTACAACAATTATTGGGTAGATGTCTCTCATTTTTACTTTACTTATAGTTGTCTAAGACCTTGTTCAATATTTTCACGAATGTTAAATTAAATACTGAAAGTCAATTGTTGAATTCGATTAACATTTTGATTAGCCTATCATCGTATTACTTTTTCAATTTCATTTGACATCATATTGTGAGAAGTTAAACATCGATCATTTTTTTGCGCCAGACGGCGCCTTCCTTCAAGAACTTCAGATGGAATTAATAGGCAACGATGACGATCATTTTCTGTGAAAATCGAGAGACCAGTTAGGATTAGGCGAGTCGTTTCTGAAGTAAAATATTAGATATGGAAAGTGAGACTATTGACGTGTATTAATTCTCTTTCGATGACAGTAAAATTTGTCTTATTAATTAAGGTCCAATTCGACCTGTAATTCCGATATTCCTCTTTTTCTGTCATTCTATATTTCTTTCATATTTCGATCGATTTTCCAATTTTTTCTTATATGTTGATAGAACCTTTTAAAACTTTAAAAACTATAGGAACATAGATTAAAATGTATGGACGATCCCACGTAAAAATAATTCAAGCAAAACCGCTCATACCGCGGTTGATTTTGGGAAACCGCGTCTTTTAGCGGTTTTCTGTACTTGCTGTCGCAGAAAGCCGCGGTGTTTGCGTTATCCACCGCGAGCTACGAAACCTGAGGCAACCACTAATCGGATAAACCGCCGTGTTTGCATTATCAGCCACGGTCTGTGAAACCTAAGACAACCAGTCATTCGATAAACCGCGGTGTTAGCAGGATACATCGCTAGCGGCGAAACTTATTCAAACCCTTCATGTGCTAAGCCTCTCTCTACACACCATCCATAACAGTATCATACGTGAATATGAGCTCAGAAGGAGTATTTATATTGGGCAACTATAGCTAGACAGAATTTGTTTTCATTTGTTGATGTTCTTCATACATATTTTGAATACGGCTATCATAGATGCTGCTGGTTTTACATGAAGCTACTTCGGTAACACATTGAAAACTTTTAACGCGAAAGAGAATATGCCCAATCAGACAAGCAACGAAAAATAACGCGTAAAAACGAATAGAATTCTTAACGAAAATAAAATCGCAGAAATGTGCGGTTTTTATTCTTTTTTACGCGTTATTTTTCGTTGCTTGTTTGACTGGGTATAGAATTCAAAACTTCAGTTTTATCTTTAATCTGATGAGAAGAATTTGAATATTATTGCGTCTAATCATTTACAGTCAAAGTTCGCTTTCGACTCTCCAAGATTCAATTCTATTTTTATTTATGTAACGAAACATGTCTGATTCGATTTATTTTTACACTTTCTCCGGCTTACTGATATTAATTGTTATTGACAAGTTTTTTTTTTTTTAAATCTTTAGTAATTTTAAATTTATTAGAATTCGCAACTTATTCACTTCATCAAGTATTGAAAGTAGAAAAATATTCGATGAACGATTTTATTTAATTGAAAGCTTTTTAATTTTATGTAGAAAATTTAATTGAAAATATGATTAACTTTAATAGGATGAATTGAACCTATACAATTTTCTTTTCACTCGTCATTTAAATATTGATAACACATGAATAGTCTCATCAACATGTGCATTCATGTGCCAATCAAACTTATGATCTCAATTGGTCATTTCTTTCATGGATTATGATGACTTTCTTTTCTTTATTTCTTTCTTGTTCTATTCTATTATATTCTTTGTGAATGACTATAATATTTTTTTAAATGTAAATATCAGTAGATAAGATGAAATATGTTTTGTTTTTGTGATAGTTTATGATTGTATATTGATGTAAATACACTCTAAACAATTATCACATCACTGAGTCTTCATTCTTGAAGTGGAATAAATGTATACAGCTATATGAAATCTCGTAATAATATATTTATATTATTATGAGACTTGATAGCAATAAAACAAAATCAAATTTTTAAAGTTTTCTATTGAGTGATTCAATTACTGTATGAAATTTTAGACTCGAAAACTCAAGACTTTAGCATCGTACATATTTCATGTTTGGCTTGTATAAATTCTTTATTTCGATGTATTGTTATTATAAAAATGATTGTTCATATATAATAATTTTAAGTTTAATCTTCGTTTTGAATCTACGGTTTCGTGCCCACCTATTTTCTGAAAAAAGCATCTACTGATATAATTAATATTGATAAGTATTTTCCTGATACATGATTTAACAAGATTGTTTGAGTAAAATGATAAAAATTTCAATTTCTTTTCTTTTCTTTTCTTTTTCTAGGCCATGAAAGATACGTTCTCAACACTGTCTTTCTTCCATCATGAACTTCGACGAATTTTTTTAGCAACACCTTTTTCTTTCAAAATTCGTAAATAATTTAACTCTTCTTTCACTTAAACAAATATATATATATATATAATATTCGCTTTACATTTCTACTAGAAATATGCTAACAGTTTTGCTTATTGCCTTTTGTTTTGACAAACATTTATCTTATCTCTACTCATGAGACTTATCTATTGAGCGTAGTTTTGATTGGAAATCTGATTGATGATGTATCAGATATTTTCATAAAATCATTTTCTTTTGTCTGTTAAACAAATCTGATCAAAATATTTGTAGGATGTATCAATTGAGTAATTGATGGATGAGTATTCATGTATATGAATTTCTTTTTAGAATATACAAAATCATCGTTGTTTCAAAATAGAAATTGGTAAAGACAATAGTACATTTAGTCTGTGACATATCGTTTGAAGTTTTTGAAAGAAAAACATTTAAACTTATTAAAATAAAGATAAAATGATACTTATTTGAATAAATGTTAAGGTGAATTTTTAGGACAATATACTTATGAAAACGAAAGCAATATCCCAATGTATTCTACATTTGATCAAGGATATTTTGCTAATTCACATGATTGTTGTCATTTCTTTCAGTAATCATATGTAAAGAAAATCATTGTTGCTTAACGGACAGTAGAAGGTTATTCTTCTCGAGATAAATCATATTGTATGAACTCATGACTATAAAATCTCAATCTTCTTTCTCTTATTGAATCGATTGCTAATCTAATTGATTAAGATTTAATTTATGAAATCTTGTTTCTTTTTTTCATAGGAGATAGAACGTTTATCGAAGAAGAAAAAAAATTCTTTACAATAGCATAGAATAGAATAGAATCTATCTTGTCCTCCTTAGAGAATAAAGAGAAAAATCTTTCATCGACTTCTATTCTTTGGATGTTCTACAAATAATATTCTCGTCATGATTTAACCATGAGAATAACTTTGTTTTGTTTCTAATGTGAACCAAATCAAAGTAAATAGAAAATCTTAAATCGTGAAAAATATAACTAACAAATTCTATGCCACGTTAAAAATGTAAGTAGATTTGTTATATTATTTATCAGTTAATAATGACCATAAATATATCTTCTCTTATTTTGTTTATACTTTTTCGATCAATGACCTTTTAATCTAGACTGACATTAGATAACATATTCAACCATAAGAAATTATCATCGTCGTTCTGTCACGCAGATTCTAATCATCAGCATATGTTTGTTCTTTTTTTCTCTTCGATACATTTTCACATCATCACTAATAAAACAAACAGAAGGCTTTCTTTTTCATTCTTATTTCCCAATTATTTTCAATTGTTTGCTTTACTAATCAGAAACACTTATCATATACGTATATTCTTTTAGGAAAGTTACATAAATATTAATATCTATTTAACCTATTTGTTACATACTATCAATATTTATTGGCATCAAGTAGTTCAATACGATCTTCCAGTAAGAACTCGCATAAATGTGATTTATTGATTTATGTAAACAAGAAAACGATATTTAATAAAGTGAAGATACTTAAATACGATTGACATGCGGCAAGTTAAAAGGAAAACGACAAATAAATTCAATTGTGACAGAGACGATTATATAATGATATGCACTTTGTTCTCTAATCGTTCGATCTTGTTTGCTTATAGGAGGATTAGCTACTAACATGAACAAGAAAAAGAAGGAAGAAGGAACCATTTTCGTTGCACTTCTTTTCTCTCTCTTTCTCCCTCTCCCTCCCTTTTCCCCTCTCTCTCTTGCATCTCGCACCTCATATATGTATATATATACACTGTGATTGAACAAGGTCGATTAAATGCAATTTTTATGCACCTTTAAAACGTGAAATTATTTCATGAGTACATAAATAATGACACTGTCCTTCATTTTTTCTTTTTTTTCATCAGTTTTTAAAACATGCAAACATTCCGATTACGTCATTTCATTCTTTTTTTCCTCTTTCTATAATATTAAGATTATTTGAATGGAAGAACAAAATAAATTTTCAACGAAACATAATTCAACATCAATCGATGGAAAACAAATCATTTGGACATTGAGTAATCATTTGAATGCACATATGAAAACTGAACCATTGAAAAGACGAGAACAATTGAAAGAACTTCCTCGTTTGAAAAAACAGCAACAACAAATAAGTAAGTTTTACCAATTAACAGCTAAGAAATTAGATTGTAGTTGAACTATTGAAATTTTTCAACAAGACTTTCGTTTTTACAAATATCTAACCAATCATGTTGAATGAGAAAATTTTAATTTTCTAAATTCATTGAATAATATGCATTTTTTGCTGATTCTGTTGAAATACATATGATAAAATGAATAATAGTTCGTATTTTAATTTTGAATTTAATTTAGATGAATATATATCCGATGAATCAAACTGTTTATCTAATATTGATGTAAATAAAAGTAAAAATGATCAACTTCTTTTTATTCCACCGATGGAATATAATTCTATCGAACGACGAGAAAAAAAGCAAGTCGGAATAGTAAAACCTTTATTAACAGTTGAAAAACAAACAAATCAATGGAATTGTTCAGAATTAGAAAAACTTCAAAGACGTTTTTCAGAGTTAATTGATGGAAAATCAAACGAAGATAAAACATTGCCAATCAATGAAAGTTTACTTATTGAACGTATTGAATCTCTTTATTCTTCCATGGGTTCATTACTATATGTATCACCTTGTTTAATTCGTTTATTCATTTTAACTGATCTTCAAGCTTGTTCATTAGAACAATGGAAATTAATTCATCGTGGTTATCCAATATGGTTATATAACACGGGTTTAAATCCTCGCCGTTCATCTGAACTTCGTTTAATGATTGTTGATGAAAAAACTGGTTTTATTCTTTGGTCTGATCGTATAACATCAATATCAAATATAATTCAACCAACAACGCTAACACTTTCTTTTCGTCATTCATTGAATAATTCATCAATTATGCTACGTTTTGAGTCAAATGACGACAATCTGTTTACAAAGTTTTATTCATATTTAAAACAAAATCGATTTCTCACAGAAAATTTATCAAATCATAAAATTTTAAAACGTTTTATTAAAAAAAGTGATATATCTCCTCCATGTCATTTTAAACATTTTAATCATATTGAAGAAAATATTACAGATGTTCATCATTTATATTATTAGATCGATGAGATGAATTCATATTTGTTTGTTCACTTTTTGAATGGACTATTTTCCAATATAATATTATTGCAATTAAAGTTATTAAGATGATTACACTCATTATTGGAATAACTATTAATAAAGCCAAATTTGATGATGATGATGATGCTGATACTGATGAACATTTTGATTGTAGCTCCAACCGATTGTAAATACCTGAAATTGTTTTTACAAAGAATTGTTTGTTTTTGTAAGTCTAATTATTTATTTTAGTGAATAAAAGTTTTTCTTTCATTATTACTGAAAAAATTTATATAATTACATATACGTGTGAGTTTTTAATTTCTTTTAAAAACCAAAATAGTTTTTTCCACCCATTGGAACAGAAATTACATAACAAAAAAAAGTATTCACAAAAATTTTTCAATAAACCAATAGATGTTTTATTTTGAAATACAATTTAAATTCATCAGAAAAAAAATGAAATGTTTTTTTTTACAGGAACATACTGTAAGATTATCAATATTATTTCTCAACAAAAGAGACAGAGCTATCTATCTTGATTTATATCAAATTCTAGAATTAATCGATTTATTTCGATTTAATAAGAAGTTATTTATCGAAATGAATAATGTTCAAAGATACTCTTATCTTATGACTGATGTTTATTTAGTTTTTCTTTTCTTTTAAAAAAAATAGATATTATTTATTAATATGTTTTGATAATAATTTTCTGTTAAGTATAGTACTTAAGTTTAAGAATCGAGAAAGATTAAGCATGAAATATAGATTTGTCAATTTAAAAAAAAGCTATTAAGTTTTATTCAATTCACAATAAATATTCTTGTGAATATTGCCAAGAGTACAATTTGTGGATATAAAAATAAAAATAAAAATTTTAATTACCTTGATAGCATTCTGTTCCATTACAATTACAAACACCGGTAAATCGATTACAATCTAAACATGAGCATTGATAAGAACAGTCGGGTCCATATAGACCAGTTGGACAACCTAATCAAATATTAAAATAATAATAAATAGAGAGAAAAATAACTTAAATTTTCTTACTTATATTACAATTTGTTCCATACCAACCAGTATAACACGAACATCCGTACGGATCAGGTAAACAAATTAATAAACCTTTACAATAATCATCATCACCTGAACAATGAAAATCACAAGTTTGCCCATAATAACCTGGCGGGCAACCTTTGGTTTTTTTGTTCAAAGAAAAACAAAAATTTATTATCGATCTAAATAGAAATTATTTATTTACTGTATTGACATTGATCTCCATAAAAGCCAGGTGCACAAATACATTTATTTATATATGAATAATATATTCCTTGATTTTGACATCGACTATCATCTAAACAATAAAATAAAATGTGATAAATCTTTTTTTCTTCAATGAAAATAAATTTACATAATTGATAATCAATAAATCTTGTATGATGTCCTGACATTCTTTTTTCCTCTAAAGAAAATGATACAAGACCATTGAAGTCTTTTTTAAAACTGATTCCATTCATCGTTTTGTTCTTTGTATTTGATTCATTACAAAATAATTTAATTGTATCATTTAATGTTGACATTGTATCAAAATTGATGTATTGATAACATGAATATCGAAGATCTTGATCGATTTGTTCAAAACTTAGTATTAACGGTTGATTATAATTTCTTCGAAGTGCAACACTATAATCCATTGGAAGATTCGGTCGAATAAAATCACCTTGTTCTGGAAATGATTGTGTATAAACGATTCCAGCTAAACTATTTTTTGGCATACAACTATAAAAACCGAATCTTGTATCATCACTCTGACTTGGAAGAGTTATATTCAAACATTTTGATAGACAAGATTTATGATTACACGATGAAGATTGTTTTATTAATGATTGAATATCGTTTTTACGACAAAATCGAAGTTTATTTAAACTTGAATTTGGATTTATATCATATAATAGATAGTAGGATTCATCATCAGCTTTTGATAAATGATATCCTATTCGATCGCTACCTCGAGGTGTAGCAAACTGAATAAAATCCAATGAACTATTATACTAAAATATGATTCATAGATTTTAATTAGATTTATTTCACATAGAAAAACATACGGAAATATTTGTTGGAATCCAATATGCATTTTCAACTTGTTTTGTTTCAGATATTAAACCCGTGTAAACATAAAAGGAATCAAAATTTGAATCGTTTAACATGATTTCTATAAAGAGATAATTCACAAATAAAATGCTCTTGATATTAATATTAAGTTTTTCTCGGTCGTTTTTATGTGAGATATATACAAAAGGTTTTTTTTAATCGCGATTAGAACTAGATGGTATTCGAATTTCACTCGTATACGAAATACGGTGCGAAGCACGAGCCGAGTACACGAAAAAATTAAAAATTTAACGGAAAAGTAACAAGCAATCTTAGAATTAATTAGACATCGTTTTGACCTGATTAGTTGCATATTCACTTGGAATATACACCTTTTCCTGTTTTCAGCAGTTGTCTTAAAAAACAAACTAGATGGTATTCAAGTTTCACTCGAATACGAAATGCGATGCGAAGCTTGAATCGGATCTTCACGAAAAATCTACAATTCAGAGAAATATTGAATACTCTTTTTATGTCGACATAATGAAATTCATCACTGAGAAAACTCTATTCTTACTTAGCGATACATTCTTAAGGATCGATTTCGATTGATCGATTAATTATCTTCATGATTCATTATCTTAGANTACTCGAATACGAAATGCGATGCGAAGCTCGAGTCGGATATTCATGAAAAATCTTCAATTCAGAGAAATCTTGAATACTTTTTTTGTCGACATGATCAAATTCATCACTGAGAAAACTCCATTTTTACTTAGCGATACATTCTTAAGGATCGATTTCGATTGATCGATTAATTATCTCCATGATTCATTATCGTAGATCAGCTGTAAATGAATAGACTATAGTTGCTAACATATGTTGATGACGTCACTTTAATTATCTCGCAACAAATTTCTTTCATTTTCATCATTTTGAAACCACATTTGCGAATGAACAGAATATCAGATTAAAGAATAGAAAAAAGATGTTAGAAGTTCGATCTCGATACTTTCATCTCCCGTTTCAATGAGTTTTCTATGATTTTCGGCACTCGAGGTCATCAGGTCACAAAATGATGAAAACGATGCGTATGCCGAGAAAGCAAAAAAGAAAACACGCGACGGACTACATAAATGCTATGCTTCGCAGCGCATTAAAAAAACAGTTATGAATGATTTTAAGTCTAGATCTTATGATAAAGAAAATCACAATGATGTCGACGTCAAACTACAAATAAGAAGATAGACTTTCTTTTTCATTCTGTCATATAACTACAAAGGTAAAGAATAAGAGAAAACAATGAAAATAAATCTTCTCCTCAAACTAAACAAGAACCTGAATCAGCAATTTTACATAAGAGATTTGCAGTGATTTATTTGAATTTCATTGTTCACTATTTTACTAATCAGTGGAATCTACTGTTATTAGAATTGATTTTTAATGTAATATTTTGCCCATATATAATTACATCTAAATCATACTAGTAAAAACTTGAATGTATTTCAATTTTGACTTATTTCTATTCAAGTTATTATCATTCTATCAAGTTTATGATCATAGTCTAACTAGAGAATTTACATCAACACGATGTAAAACTGATGATAGAGTCGCGTGGAAGATTAGGTTTTCACTGTAATTAAAGTCTCTGATGGTTAGGTATTCATTTTTCAGAATTCAGTAATAGGAAAAAATCAATTTTTCATTTTCGTTTTATTTGAAGATCAAATTCTCTAACAAAACTAACACTTTAAAAGTGAATTAGCTAAGGTTCAAAACATAGTATTGTACGTTGTCTTCCGGATTTCGTTAGGAGTATTATTTGAATGATTCTTATCGATGTAGTATCAATTAAAATAACCTAAGTGAGATGTCGAACGGAATTATAGAAATTGAACTATTTATTTATTTATTTTATTGTCAAGTTCAAATTATGTTATGAGCGCTGCCTCGATAAAATTTGATGTTGATTCACTAGTGTCGTATTATATATAAACCAAGCAGAAAGAGTTCACAAGTTAAAATCTTACGGATTTATTTTAAATTTCGACGTTCTATCTAGTAATAAGTTATTTGATAAGGAAAAAGACGGATACTTTATTAGAAAGTATTCTTATATAATCGATATACCTTGAATCAATTGCCATTCATATGCATTATTTGCATAAATTGGATATCCACCTAATTCCGAACAAAAATCAATAACACCGGTTAAATTCTTTGATTGATTATCCATCTCAAGACGATAAATAAAATTCTTTCCATCATCTATTACAGATGCTAAATAAAATACAAAATAAAAATTGAATGAGTTCTTATTTTAATTTGAACTTACGTAAAAGACGACATAGTGAATATCCATAAATAGTTGTATCATCACATTTATGGTCTAATATTCTTATTGATTGAGCATTAAAACCATCAGATTGAATTATTGTACAATAATCTTCGTCGTTTATTAAATTTATTCCCAATGATTCATTATACGAAATAGCCTAAAGAAATTTTTTTATGAAAAAACTAGTATTCGAGTTTATTAAGGACATTCTCTCATAATTTACAAATGTAAATATTTGATACTTATACGATGAGAAATGAGAATACGGATATATCATACAAATGATGTTCAACAATCGCATGTTATATAAAGATGAAATTTTACATAGAAAAATTGAAATTCTTATTTTTCTCTTTCGAATTCATATCGGTTGATCTCTATGAATATTTTTAATAACAATTTTGATTAAGTATGTCTGTAACTTAGTTTTATTTCATTAGATAAAAGTTTTGCATACTTTTTAAAATTAAAAACATTTACAATTACAAAATATTCCAAAATTCACTTTCATTTCCTGGTAATAGTAGCGTAGTCACACAAAATAATTTAGTTAAAACGGAAGAACTATAGAGCGATACTGCATCGAAAAGTTGAAGTGGTTTTTCTTCGCTACTTTTGTGTCTTATCTTATTGATGAAATCATTTAGAAAATATGATTTTAGAATAGAAACATCGAGCAATATTTTTAAAAGAAATCTTACATTCGATTCCCATCGTTTAATTCGATTAATTTGTTTTAAGCCAATAAAAAAAGTTAATGTATTATTACTAAGTGAGGTTCTTTGAAAATGAAATAATTGATGAATTGTTGTCAGAAGAATGCCTATTTTAAAACAGATAAAGATATTTGTTTTCCTTAAAAGGAATAATTGATGATACACAATTTTACTTTGAAGGATTTCTTGTTCCGTTGAATTCGCCCAATACATTAATGTTCCGTTATTGTTCAAACAAAAGTTTAAAGATTGATTTCTGGTGTAAATTCGAGGAATTGTAAAATATTTCAAACGATTTTCTTTCCAATATTTCCCTTAAAAAGAAATTATTTCTAAAATGATGTTCTTTTACTAATAGTAAAAATGATATACATCCATGATCCATATTAATCGATTGAATTGGATATAAATTTGATTTACTTCTACATGTTATACTTGATGATTGATTTTGAGAGTAAATATATCCACGATGTTCTATAGCTACATCGGGTATTGATGTTTCTAGATAAGGACATTTTTGTTTTATTTTTTAAATAGATTTTAATAAATTCTTACCATTTATTCGATGATTTAGAAATCGGTAAACGAAATACGGATTGCCAATTAATTTACCTGATAGAATCCCATTTCTAAGACTACTTATAAATGTTGATGATTGAGATGATCTATTACTTATTGTTAATGTAGAGTTGTCTTGCTGCCAAGGTGCGATACGACCATCGTGTAAAGCTGATTTACAAATTAATGAATTCTTGAGAAATTTTATTTTTAACTTTTTTTTACAGCATTTGAATATGTTAACTTACTCCTGAATATGTCTCATTACCAAATAAGGGATATTCTTGCTGATTAGCTAGATATTGCATTGTATAACATGATGATGGACATATAAATATACTAAGAATATGAAATTTAGAGAAGTTACAAAATAAAATCAACGTACGTTGCATTTGAATTCAATGGATCAGACGTTATCGATACCGTATCAAACGTCATGAAACACACATGTGGTAAATAAAATTGACCTAAATATTAACGAAAGAAAATTTGAAATTTGTTTTTGTACTAAAATTAAATAAAAAGCTGAACCTTGGATCAGTAAACATAAGTTAATTACAACAATAAAATAATTGTTCGTTTGTGTGCAATGACTAATATCCATCGCGTATCCTATATAATTATTGATAGTTCGCTTAGTAATAAAGCAGAGAAGTAGAATGTATCTTCTTTAAATAAATGATCAATTTTTTTTCTTTTTGTTCAAATATTGATTTTATTTCTAATGAAAGATCAATATTCTCTACTTGTCAATAACAAGCAAATAGAGAATATCTAGTTGTCAATCATACATAGACGATCATCATTCATTTAGCAGGAACTTTTTTCATTTTTCTTTTTATATGAATAAAGAAAGCAGAAAAGAAAGAATATTCTCTAGTCTTCTAAAAATGAATACATCGCAATCAGAACTAGCTATGTTCCGAAAGTCTATGCAAAACATATTCTAACAGCAATTTTCGTTCATTGATGAATTACTAACGAAAGTCAAAAAGAATAAACTTCAATCAGACACTCATATACTTGCTAACTATGCATTACTTTTTCGACTTCGAATGTTTGCAACGGACAAACAGAAGATGATCGATGTATCGAATTTTTTATTTTGTTTAATTTCGGTGAAAATAATTGCAATCAAATCTGCGAGAACTCCTTTTGTAGAAAGAGTGCCGTATATGATACTGATTTTATAAAATAACTAACGTTTTCCTTTTTTTATTTGTAGCTGATTATAAATAATCGAAATCTGTTACATTAAATATCAAACGTTAAAAAAAGACAACTTTTTCTCGCTTTTCTCGAATGAAGAGTAATCCTTCGAACTTTGGTTTTTTCACCTTTTAGCGATTTAAATTCATCATGCGATAGAATCTCATTCAAAGAATTTATCCAAAACAGATAAACAAGTTGTCTACTGTTCTTAATACAAGTAACACTTTCAATTCAATTTCAATACTTCTTGATAGCTAGGAGAGACTGTAAATACATGAAAGCAAGATCTTTATATTCATTGTGGAAGAGCATTACATTGTCATTGTTCTGACAGAGTGCTTTTTGACCTTCTTCAATGACATCAATGTATTCGAAAAAAGCATCAAACACACGAACTAACATTTTTTCACTTCGATTTTTGCACAAAGGTCAATTCTTTTTGTTCGCCGTCAATTATTTGTTTTCAATGAAATAGCTTTAAGCAAGAGAAAAAAATACTGAACCTTCAATAGAAAATGAAATCCTGATTCGAATTGATTCTATTTCGAATTTTTCTCGTAACTTAGAATTTAATGCATGCTGATCGGATATGTCATACAACGGTCTTTTTTCTCCAAGTTATTTCATTATGTTCAATGAAAATTATCAATTTCTAATTCTTTTTTTTCGCTGTTAATTAGCCTAAAACAACGTTCAATGATTAAATTGAAAAAAAATCTTGATAAATTATTAAGAAAGAAAAAAAATGGAATAACAAAAGATATAAATCGGTGTTCTGTACAAAAAAAAATGAAAGAACGCTTCTCCTTTTTGAATTGAATTAAGCCACCGATCGATTATTGATTAGAGATTCGAGGAAACATTGTTGATGATCCACCATTTCTTATTTGTTTATCTTCTTCAATTGCAACAGTATCTTCATGACCGGTTGTTTCATTTAAACTAAAATCTATTTTAAAGAAATATTTTCGAAGAAAAACAAAAGGAAAAGAAATTTTACATGAGTCTCCATTTATTGTTGATGTATTATGATTCGTAGTGTTGTTGTTATTATCTTCTTTTTTTGCTTTATATCGTGTTCGTGGTTCATGTGATGATCGTTTTAATTTTGTTTCAACAATCCACGGATGACGAAGACCTTCCTCAGGTGTCAAACGTTCAATAGGATCCCATCTAAATAGATATTTATTGAAAAAAAGAAATGTTATTTATTTGAAACAAACTCAAAGCATCGACGAATAAAATCAATAAAATTATTATCAGTTGTTCGAAGAATTTGTCCTAGTGGACGACTAGCTGGGCGACGTTTTTTTAATGTTTTTGTTGACACTGTTCGAGGAACTCCTTTTGAATCTAAATTTTATCTATGAAAAAATCTTTTCTAAAGAAATGAAAATAAAACAAACCAAAGAATAATTTTCTTCGTGTTCCTTGTTCAAGTACATGACTTGGTGGTAAATCAATAACTTCCATTATCATCGCCAATTGTTCTTGTTCATTTTCACCAGGAAATATAGGATAGCCTTTGTGAGTAGAAAATCATAATATAATACTTATTCATGTCAATGGTAAGTATTGAACCTTTAAAAGACATTCCTCACTTTATTTGCACTGTTCAAAACTCACTTATATATATATATAATCCAACAGAAAACTACAACAACAATACGATATCAATTCACAATACTTATTGAAATATACCAAGTATGAAAGTTTTCTATATTAAATCTAAGGTGCACCAAAGTCAAAAATCGAGCAGAAGAAAAATCCCATTTATTATTACAAGCTTGGATAGAGCTCGATGAGTAGATCATGAATATCGCTTTTTAAATGTTTTTAGGCTTCCGTTTTGGCTGAGAAATTTTCAAAATACAAAGTGCACGTGAAAACGTCGATATTTCAATTTCTTCGAGAAAACTCCTAATTTACCTAGTTTAACCATGTTCTATGTTTCAACAAATTATCATCATCAAATTCAGCATGAAAATCTGAATCAACTGATGTAACTTTGACCAGTAAAAAGCATACGCTTCATGTTTGAGGAGCTCCACTGGGTCCCCATATAGACACGTTCAAATTGATGTCTCGCAAAATCATCAAGTATTTTTTTTTGAAAGCACATCTCGAACTTTCTTACGTCATTCGAACCGCTGAGTGATAGCGAACAAAAGCATATATTCAGTTTGAGAAATATTGTTCCCTCTCTGAGATAATTGATTTTTACTAGATCGGTGGCTGAAGCTTAACGAATTACCCTCTTATTTTGTGGTTTTGACTATCAAAACTCAATTATCATATATTTTATCAAAAAATAATTTTCATCAAAATTTTACTTGTGGTGGACCACAGGACAAAATCAAGAAAAAAAATGACTGAGGGGGAGTAGGCTGGAATTTTGTTGAAAATTATTTTCTGATAAAATTATATGATAGTCAATATAGTTTTTCGTGCTGCTTGCGAATCTGATGTTTATCTTGCATGAAAGTTGAATTTTGATAGTCAAAACCACAAAATAAGAGGGTAATTCGTTAAGTTTTAGTCACCGATCCAGTAAAAATCGATTTTCTCAGAGAGGGAACAATATTTTTCAAACATAATATACCAAACCAAATAACATCGAGACTATTAATTAAACATACGAGAACTGACTTATTTGCAGTATCTATACTTATTCAGAACTATCTCGTTCACCAACACTCAATGTCTCAAAGCAAAGCAACAATCAGTGGACAAGGTCATTACTCACATCAATCATTATGGCATATAACTATGTAAAATTAACAATTGTAAGCTATGAAAAAAGACGTAATTTCCGACAGGAAAACAAGATCAAGTTGAAAGCATGAATACAATGCTCATACCCAAAGGCCAGCGTTACTTCTCTATGTTCGAAACTAGAAAAATCCAACAATTAAATCCGGACATCGAATTTCTATTTAAAACTGTCTACTATTTTCTAGTGTTGTCCTAGTCAAAACTGGTGGTACGTTATTCAACTGTATAATCGAAATTTCTTCGGAAAAACCAAAACCAAAACAATTTATAAGTCTGATGTTTCAGATACAAAACTGCAAAAGAACTATATTTTATTTTAACACTTTCAGAACGATAACATATTTTCGAATCTCCATGTCGATAATATGTTACATAGTGTTCTACGCATTATACGTCGAATATATTTCAACACGAAAAATAATTTACCAGTAAAAAGTTCGACAAGAATACAACCAAAACTCCACATATCAATCGCTGGTGTATAGGGAATACCTAAGATAATCTCTGGTGCTCGATAAAATCGAGATTGAATATAAGTATAAACTAGAATAAAATAAAAATCATCAAAATTACAAAATATGAAACTAGCAAAGAAAACAGACTTCTCTGTGATTCAAAACATCCAGATCCAAAATCAATAACTTTAATACTACTGCTTCCTTTTTGTCTTAATAAAATATTTTCCTAGAAGATAAAAAAATTAATTGTTTTATATTATTTTCCATATAAATATCTTACTGGTTTAAGATCACAATGAATGATTTTTTCTCTAAACATAACACGAAGACATTGTAAAAGTGAATTAGCAAAACGTCTGACTAAATGTACACTAAAACCTTGATAATTATTCTTTTTAATTAGTTCATATAAATTAATCCTAAAAAAAGAAAAAGAAAAAGAAAGCGAAATTAATTCATTTTGAAAATCTTTCTAAAACTTAATTTACCCGAGTAATTCAAATGTAATACAAAGATGAGATCGAAAATAAAAATGTTCTTTGATATGAACAATATTTAATGAATTATCGGAATCTAATGTTTTTAAATGTGCTAATATATTAACTTCAACAAGACCTTGTTGTTGAAAGCGTTTTTTATTTCGAATTATTTTTAATGCAACAGCTTCTTTTTTTTTATGATCATAACAACGAAGAACAAGACCAAATGAACCTTTGCCCAGTGTTTCTAAGATTTCAAATCGATAACAAATATGATCTTTACTCATTTTCATATAGGAGCCATTTTCATCATCATAATCTTTAACATTTGTTGCTGAAATTTTTTCAGCTTCTAAACCAAGAAAATAGATTTCATTGAAATCAAATATTTCAGTTTTTTCGAATTCAGTTAATTTATCGCCATAATATGTTAAAGCTTCTGCAATAAAAATTAGAAAAATAGATAAATAAATCAATAATAGATTCTTTTTTCTTTTTCTGGTGATGAAAATTGAATGAAAAATAAACTCACCAGATGGTTTCATTGGAAAACTTGGAGGTTTGTTAATGCTATCAGATGATGTATTAGTAAAAAAACTTTTTGATCGAGAAAATTGATGAGAACTAGAAACAATCGAAGAACCACTTGTATTATGAGAGTGATGATGATGTTGTTGTTGTTGAAATAAATGATGACTGCTTGTAATGTCTGTATCTTTGGATGTGGATTTAAGACTTCCTTCTCGTGTTCTTTCTCTTCGCAAACTTCGTGCTGTAGCTGCTGCAGCACCATGATGATGATGATGAGAATGATGATGAGCAGCTGTATGATGTAGTCGCGCTGATGTTCCTGGTGATCCAACTGAATTATTTAAAAATGGTAATGAAGAATCATGATTCGGTGTTTGATTTAATATATTAAATGATTTTCCACTTCGTGTAATACCTGTTACAAGTGATGTTGATTGTTGTTTATCACTTACTCGTGGAAATGATCCATTAAGAACTGTTTGAACGGATAATTTCTTAAAAATGAATTTATTTCATAGAATTTAGTTTTTAATTTAAAAACCAAAATAAATTAATAAACCTGAACTTTTGCTAAAGGTTTTGATGTAATACTTAATCCAATGTCACCAAATGATGCATCCATATCGCGAAGGTCTATTCCACTTGTATTTTGATGATGTGATCCATAACCAGTATTAGTTGTATTATTCGACTAAATAAATTTTAGAATGAAAACAATAAAAAAATCCAAGAGAAAAAAATGAGACCTTAGCCGTCAATGGGCCTTTACTATCGCGCATTTTTGTAAGTAACATTATTCTATATTCTATAGAAATGTTTCGTTGCTGTCTTCAGTTATTTGTGATTCGATCACTGTCGATCACACATGTAAACAAGGACACTATTACCTTCTCCTCACTTTTTTTTTCTTTGTCGATACCATTTAATGGGATTAGATAAATATATAAATATATATATACATATATATATATATATATATATATGCGTCAAACGGAAAAAAATTCAAGACATCAAACATATTCTCACTTTCATTTTTACTTTTTTTTCTTTTTCTTATGTACCTGATAGAGTTGCGTAGAAAAATATCCATAATTATCAAATAAAATTCATAGGATGAACAATGTTAATAGTGTTTGCTTGAAAATTAATCAGGTAAGAATTTTAAGAAAAATAAAAAGAAAGGAAAAACTTATTCTTTCTATTTTTTCCAAGGTCATTCAACGGTGTAATATTTTAGCATTAGCCTCGAGTCAAAAACTCTTTTTCTTTGATGCTGTTCATTCACTTAACAAGAAACTTTGTCTCTCTCTCTCTCTCTCTCGTCTATTTTAATGTCTAATAAAATTATATCTAACATCTGAAGGCGTTATTTGTTTTTCTTTGCGATAAAATCTAATTCGTATTTTCCTTTCATTTTAATTTAATTTTAATGATATAATAAAACTCATACAGACAGAAGTTTAGGAGAAATAAATCGATAAATCTTACATAATATGAATAATAACTATCTTGTTCTTCATCATCAGTATAAACATAACTATTATTTTCAGTTGTGATCGGTGAAACATTATAATAAGCAACAGTAGAAGTACGTTTATAATGCCGTGGTGGTACTCGAGAAGTTGCTTGAACAACTAAACGCCGAGTTCGTTGCGAGTTAGGTGAATTATAAACTGATCTTTGTTGACTTTTTGAAACAGAATGATGTTTTTTAAAGCGCCCTTCTCGATCATCTGTTTTAACAGTCATTCGAACAAATTTATGAAATAAATCGGACAGACTTTGTCCATTTCCAACGGTGACCATTGATCCATTTGACATACTTGATTGTTTATTTTCTTTTAAAGTTTTAGAAAAAATATTCTCATGATCATTGGCTTGATCGGCATTAATGCTTGGGAACGAAAAGAAAAAAAATGTGCTGGACACGAAAATTCTTCCTCACTGACTTTATTTTCTTTTCATTTTTCTTCAACGAAGTTTGTTTTAAGTAATGTTTCATTTCTGCTTTGTTTTTTTTTTCTTTCCTCAATATTTACGTTTGCAACATGAATCTTTATTATTTTTCAATCAATTTTATATGTTCATTTTTATTTGATTAAAAATAGAACAAAAATACCGTTACATATACACAATAACTATTATTTCAAGCAATGAACAAGCTATCAATGAAACTAGTAGACATGACATCAAAATGGTAATTTAAATAATAACAGAAAAATCATAAAAAAAGATGTCGCAAATAATCGACAAAATAAATCGAAAATTATCGTTCTGTTGAGGGAGGTCGTTTCATAACGATGATCAACCATAATGAGTAATTCATTCATAAATTTACTGTTCATCTGTAAGAAAAATGAATACGAAACCAACGAGCTTTCTTGTATTTGTTAATGGAGCCATTGAAAATGCTGAGGTACGAGTTAAAATTCCTTTTAACACAATTTATTTTAATATTTTCTTTGCACTCGAAATAGGTCAATGATTTCGATGATCTCTATCTTCGTTTTTCTTATGTTATTGGAAAAGATTGGAAAATTTGCTCTGTATGTTAATAGATTTATAAATATTATAGCATAGATTCTGTTTTTAAGGGTCTTGAAGAAGGAACAACACAAATTGCACATAAAAGCGTACAACTTGGATCAAAAATAGTTTTTAATTTTCCATTAGAAGCTACATTTCGAGCAACAAATCCTTTTGGATGTTTGTATTTACAGAAAAAAAATTTTTTTAACAGAAAAATTATTTTGATTTGTATTATTTTAGGGCCACAATTAGTTATTAGTGGCTATGGTTTAGATGCTTTTGGAAATGATGTTGTTCGAGGTTATGGTACAACTTATATACCAATCAGTCCAGGACGGTAAGTTTCTTAATTTTATATTTTATTTTTTCTTATTTTTTATTTAAAGACATCGTATTCGAATTCCGCTGTTTGTTCCACGTTCATCATCTCGATTTCAACAATTTTTAGCTTGGTTTTTTGGTCGCCGGCCAGAATTTGTTGATCCAAAAGTTATCGCTTTCAATGCTGGACGAGAAAGTAAAATAAATCGAATTATTAACGTTGATTCTTTAAATTATGCAGTAACGCTTTTGTTTTCAGTGACACGAGTACAATCTCATGGTTATGTACAAGTTGTTTTTAATGTTGTAACTAAGGATTTAGAAGAGTTAGGATATAAAATTGAAACTAAGCATTCTTCTCAAACGTCACAACAACGATCAGAAAGGAATGAAACAACATATGTAGATAACTATCACGCTTAATAATGTGTTCGTTTAATAAACTATTCGTTATTTGTTTCTATACGCGATGAAATGATTTAACATAATCAATTCATTTTTAACTTTTTTCTAGTTGAACAATAAATAAAATTTCTGTTAGAGATATAAAAAGTTTTCTGAATCTTTAATTGAAGATGAAACTTCAATTGATCTATTGTCTTTTATCTTTTATCTTTTATCTATTGTTTATTTTTTATTTTGCAATTTCAATTTCATTATAAATGTTGCAAGAAATCAAATTAGAAAAATAATCTGATATTTTCTATCAAACAGATTTCAATATGAAATAAAACAGAAAATAAACATCAGAAGATCGTCAAACTAACGTAAGATTAACTTCATAATCAAACTAATATGAAATGATCTCTATCATTTGTATTATTAATTTTTATGAAACCCTCGATTTGTTGCATTTTCTTTTTTAAATTTTTATATAATCAATTCTATTGCATAATATTACGTTTCATGAACGATAAAAATCATAGAGTTGTGTTATTAATTCTATTAGGAAATTACGCAACGAAATAAAAGTGTTTTTTTGTCTGAAATCAATCGATGTCATCTTTGTTTATCAATACCTGATTATATTATCTCATGCTCATATTTTGAACTAGGGCATGGAAAAGTTAAAAATTTTATCTATAGAGATTATTTGAATTTTGTTTTGACTGGCATAGGTTAAATAATCTAATTTTATATGTTTCTCATCAAGCAACTCGATTTCTGTTATAAAAAAACATTATACTTATATCAATCAAGTGATTGTATTTGATTAAAATAGTATAAAATTGACTTTATAATTTTAAAAGACACAAATACACTCATTTCTACCAACGAATGTTTGGATAAGCGATTCATTTCATTCACTCGTTCGAAAAAAAAATGATGGAAGTTTTCTTTTGTTTTGAGCAAAATATTCCTAAAGCTTCATATATTCCATCTTCACGATATTTATTCGGCGAAATTTTTAGACTTTCAGTGAAGAAGAAACTTTGTATAAGAATTCTCTAGAAATTACTTTAAGAACATCTTTTGATTAGAAAAAAATCTATGATAACTTGTGATTAATACTGGTGAAAAGAGCTTAAAAATACAAAGATTTACATTGGTGTAGATGTTGAATTACTTGATATATTATTAAACATACGAATCAATGCGTCACCCCAATGGCAAAAAGGTTTTGGCACCTTTTTTCAAGCTGTCTTAGCCCAAAGAAATTTTGAAATGAAAAAGGCAGAAAATATAATAAAAAGAAACTCGCCAAACAAATATTCTCAAATATTGATAATAATCGTCGTAAAATCTAATTTCTCTTCGTGTGCCTGTTGTAGTATTCGTGGTGGTTCAATCAATTGGCTGATACGTCTATGTATGTTCAATAATATGATGTTCGTTCTAAATATGTAACTCCTTTTTGTTTTACTATATAATTCTATTAGCTGCTTTTTTTAGTAGCTTTAGTTTTACATTTCAATCTAATAAATAACGAAAAATAGTCACAAAATAAATGAACTTGATAGACAATTATGGATGCTCTCTGGAAAGTAGTTTTATCGTGTTTGACATTTTAACCCCACAATGATAAATCCAACTAGGATGGGTTGGAACAAAATTTTGGTTTTTGAACGTTTTGTGGAACTGCATATTCTGTTTGTTTTGATGAAAAATTAAGACTGTATTCGATGAAATACAGAATCTGATAAGCGTATGGGTACGATCAGTAGTAGCAGGATATTTTATGTTCTCGTCAATTTTATTAATTATGAAAACCTTTCTTTGTTTTTTTTCTTGCCGTATTTGTTGCATACAGATCATATATATTTTCGAAGAATTTGGATAGCAAGGAAAAATATTTTGAATAGGATTCATTGTATGAAATTGATATTGTTTCTCAGCATGATGTATCACAAATTTAATTCACAAAATATCAACGTATATAGAATTGTTACTATCTTAAACAATGAGCCTGAGAGTATCTATGTATGGAAACATTTTCAGTTAGTCTTCTGTTTTTGAGCTTAATATTTGGTATACCTTTTTAAAGTATATTAAAAAGCAACTAGAAAGTCCTGAATTGTAGTTCAGTTTCTTAAATAAAATAAGATTTTAATTAGTTTCATTTTGGACACAATATCATAGATGTTTCTGATGTTTGTGGCTTGTTAATGCTGTGAAAATTTTGACGCTAACGTTGACAAACAATCTTGTGATTCAAATCGGATATTTTTTACGTGAGAGAAAAAGCGTTAAAATATCTAGAAAACTAGAATTATTTGACAACATCAAAGTGAAGAAGATCAGTCTCGAACACAATCAGAATGTCAAAAAAGAATATTTAATCATAAATCTTTTGATTCGATTCTATGAGATGGGATGGGAAAGAGTACCTACTCTTATCTCATTGTATAGGAAACTGGTTCAAATCTTAATTGTGAATATCCATTGAAATGGAGAATACTCTTCATTTTAACTTGTAATACATTCGTAATTCATTAATAGAATGAAAACTTCATGCTTTTATTGTTTTCTTCAATTTATAACAAGAAGAGCTGAAATTTTTATTTTCTTTGACTACTTTTGACGAATCAGTTTTTCTCCTGTTACACAATATAATCGAGTTCTTATGTTTTCGAAAAGAACACAATAGTGATTATAGCCAATAGTTTTCCATTTGTATTTGAATCTGTAGAGATTTTGGTTGCATCCCAGTTATGTGAATTTTCGATGATATTATTTTGAATAATATATCGAAAATTTATTCATATAAATGGTTCTTTTGACAAAATTACGTAGCTACAAGCTTTGTTTAGAAAAATTCCTAAGCAGAAAAACGGCGCATTTAACTAATTAGTCTATAATGGAATGGCCAAGAAAAAAAGAAAGTTTTCTGAATATTCTTAGAACTCGTCTTCGTAGTTTGAGTTCAACTAGAATAAAAGCTAGAAAAACTTATCCGTCATTAGATTCTCATGCTCATATACGAATACCAATTATTTTTAATAAAATTAATGTAACACAAGCATCGACACAAACTGTATCAATTAATATCAATAATAATGGTACAAATAAAAAGTATTTCATTCGAATTAAATCGAACTTCTTTTTTCTTTTTTTTAAGCTGAAGAATTGAAATCAAATATTGTTGTTCGTCATAAAAATCGTCGTCGAAAATATCAACGTTATTTTAATAAATGTTTAATAGAATTAACTCAAAAGCATCCTCCAATACCAGCACATGAATACTTAGTGGTCTTTTTTTTTCTTTCTAAATATTCTGTGAATTGCGTTTATTTCCATATCTTTACATTTTTCTAGAAAGAAGACAAGTCAATAAATGATGAGTCAAATAGTTTCGTTTTCTTTCATTATCATTTTATAAATAAAAATAATCTTCTTTTTTTTTAAATAAAATTTAGGTTCCGAAATCAATCTGTCTCTGTGGTCAAAATTGTTAGAAAGTCGAGAAGATTCATTAAAATTAAATACAACTCTTGAAGATTTAGATCAACGATTAAAACGTCTTTCAATGAATATTTGCGTGAAATGTAAAGATAAAGATTTTTGTTAAATATAATAAAGGTTTTTTTCTTCTTCTTTTAAATAATTAACAATTGCCACTGACATCTATAGAGATGAGTTTTACTGTTATTTATATCATAAGATTGTATGAAGAGTTTTCGAATGAAATAAAGACAGAAACTTCTTTTTTATGAAATAAATTTTTCTAATCATTCTTTAAATTTTGAATCGATTGGTTCAATTATTAACTGATTTCTCAACTTATAAGATGAAATAAAAAAAGATAAGAAGAAAAAACGACGATATGTATTTTCACCTTATTCTATCGATATATTCTCATGTAACTAATCTTTGATATGAAGTAATCTGTTGTTTTAAAATCGAAAACAGCAAAAAAAATGGTTGAATATTGGAATTGGGCCAAAACATTTCGTTGTCGTCCCCTTCTATATGTTGAACCAACATCAATTGATTCTCTCCGAATTTCATTAAAAGAAATAAATAAGACGAAATCGAAAATTCGTATTATTGGTTGTGCGCATTCTCCATCTGCACTTTCCATGTCCAATGAAGTTTTAATATCAATGAAAAATTTTAATAGAATTCTTGAAATTGATAAAGAAAATCTTGTAATTCATTGTGAAAGTGGTGTACTTCTTAGTACACTCAATGAAATTCTTCCACAGTACAATCTTTCATTACCTGTTCAAGGTTCTGTCAGTACATTGACTATAGCTGGTGCTATTTCTACAGCCACTCATGGATCAGGTTTTATTTCAATAATTAAATTACTGAAAACCTTAAAGAATGATTTATTTTGTGTTTTTTTCTTAAATTAGGAATTCAATATGGAACATTATCATCGTATGTTCGATCGATAACTTTAATGAAACTAGATGGAGAATTAAAAGAATTTCGTTTAGAAGATGATGAAGATTTATTTCGTTGTTTAACATGTTGTTTAGGTACATTTGGAATAATCATAAGTGTTCGTTTACAAGTATCTCGTCTTTTTTATTTGGAATTAAATCAGCATCCATTAGAATTTCGTAAATTTTTAAACACATTACCTGTTTATTATTCATCATCAGATCATTTTCGTTATATGTGGTATCCTCATACAAATTTTGGTATTGCTTATCATTTAAATCGAGTTCAGCCAAGAATAATTAATAATAAAAATTCATTTCTTTCAAAATTTATTTCTTGGTTTCGATATTCATTAATCGGTAGTGTTTTTTTGTTTTTTGTTATATATATATTTTGTTTGCTTTATTTCTTATAGGTTATCATCTTTTGGAAGTATTATTTTTATTTTCATTATATTTTCCTCGTTTCATTCGATGTATTAATAATATTTATTTTAAACTCGATGGAAGATCCTGTCATAAAATTGATCGTTGTGACAAATTATTTAATTTTGATTGCCTATTCTATCAATATGCAAATGAATGGGCAATACCATTAGATCAAGCTGTTTCATGTCTCCTGCAATTAGAAAAATTAATGGAACAAAATAATTATGTTCATTTTCCAATTGAAATACGTTTTAGTAAAGATGAAGATTTATCATATTTATCACCGGCTTATAAACGTAAAACATGTTGGATAAATACGGTTGCTTATCGACCATTCGGGAAAAATCATTTAGAACATCAAACTTATTTTAAAGCGTTTGAATCTATTTGTTATAAACATAATGGAAGACCGCATTGGGCCAAAGAACATCCATTAACGAATGAAGATTTCTCAAAACTTTATCCACAGTGGAATTTATTCCATCAAAAACGAAAAGAATTTGACCCGAATGATCTTTTTCTAAATGATTGTCTTCGAAATATGTTTTCATAATAAGTTTTTTCTTTTAAACTTAATAAATCAGTGACATCTATGATAAAATGTTGAAAGTGCATAAATAAAATAAAAGTATGCACCATCGTGCTATATATTTGTCTACGATAAGAATGTGACCCCTAGGTAACAGAATGCTTGGACGACCGTTGCTTGGTGTCATTCTTTTTCTCTTATTGCATTGACTAAAGTAACGGTAGTCATCGAGATCTTTCGTATTCTTGTCAAGTAACCGTCGTCAGGTCAGTAAAAAATAAAGAAAAAAAACGGGTTACCATAACGAAACTTTCTTAAAGAAAACAATCTTTTATATTTTTGACGTTCTTCTAAAAAAAGAAAACAAAAGAATGAATTATCTATTATATATGGATATTCGATTATTTTTATCTTTTAAGTTTAAGCAATGTCATCATCAACAACACTTCCAATACGAGTAAAGATAATTTCTTTTGTTTATTTAAGTTCGGAAAATTTTATTTTCGTTTTTCAAAGAATGAATCGCGTTTAAATGGTCAACAAGGACAATATTTAGTAGCAACAACGAATCAAACAGGTGGAGAAACCAATGGAAATCAAACAACAGGAAGAGTTATTATTGCTAAAGCACATCCACCGAATCAAAATTCACAAATAAATCAAAATTCAAATAATATTTCTGGTCCTGTGTAAGTTAACTTGACGTTTTTTTGCGTTTTTCTAAAATCATTCATGACATTCGTTGTTTAGTCAATTTCAATTCAATTCAAGTGATGGTACACTTTATACAGGAACGAATTCCTTTTTTCAACCACAATCATCGGTAAAAAAAATATTTTATCGAATAAAACATTCTGCTTAATCATTTCTGTTTTTACTAGAATGCGTCATCGGATAGTTTTTCACATCATATATTATCATGTACAGGTGGATATTTTGTTCCATCATTAGAAAGTGGTTCACAACCATTGACACATACAACACGAGCATCACCAGCAACAGTAAGAATATTAAAGCATAGATTGAAGAGAAAACTAACGAAGAATTATTCATTAATATGACGAAACTTAATAAAGTTCTCAGCTTGGAAGTAAATTTTTGATAAAGAAAATCGGCAATTGTCTTTATTGGTTATTAAATAACGAGATTTAGATGAAAATTAAATTTTACATGACATAAAATAGTTATTAACTCTAGTTTTTGACTTGACATTTTTTCATTATAATACAGAAGTAATTGTTCATACGTTGAAGATGGCGTCTATTGGGAATCGAACAATCTGCCAGTTGCTTACTTAAATTTACATAGAGAAAACATCTAGCCGATGTCTATTAATAATGCATAGAATAGAAAAAGAAATTTCTCTGTAAATAAAACGGTTTCTATGTTAGTATGAGATGGTTTGTAATTTTAACAAAATACATGACAAGAAATTTTATTTATTGCACCTTATTTTCTCTCTAGTTATCTTATCTCAATTAAATGATATATAGAATCTTATTTAATTCATCTGTTTTAGATTAGTACGCGTAGTATGTACTCTAGTCACAGTAGTATAAACAATGTATTTTACATAGAAACTAGCAAATCTAAGTCATTGAAAATATAACTATTTTCTTTTGACAAATGTAAAATCCAAGTCTAATACAGTTGCATGAATGAAATTTATGTTGTGATTTAAAAAATTCAGCTAAATATTTAAGTGATTCTAGAACATAAATTTATATTTTAGCTATATTAAAATTATCATTATAAGTATTGAATAAAATAAAACAGATAACTCAGTTGGAATAGTCGACGTTACTGTTCTCAGTGGGGTATAATAACAAAAGAATATTGTTTATCGCCCATCGTTAATAATTGACTTCTCTATTAACAAATAAGTTGAAATATAATTGTATAAACTTCGAAATACTTGTGAAATCTGGGCAAAATAAATGTTTTGATTAGTGTTAACTTACTTCTCTGTTTAAGGAAATAAACTAAAAATACAATTGATTTTTTTCTAAAGGTTCAATGGTTAGTTGATAATTTTGAACCAGCCGAAGGTTGTTCACTTCGTCGTTCAACATTATATTCGTTCTATTTACAACATTGTTCAGAACAAAAATTAGAAGCTGTTAATCCAGCTTCATTTGGAAAATTAATTCGATCAGTTTTTCTTGGTCTTCGTACTCGTCGTTTGGGTACACGAGGAAACTCAAAATATCATTATTATGGTATACGTGTTAAACAAAATTCATCGTTAAATGCTTTTTCGGATGAACATGGTGGACTAACATTTCGAGGTAATAACGCATTTGCTAATTTTAAAAATCGTCGCTGGTCAACATCAAATGATGGTTCATCACCAGAGAATAAACCAAACATAAATGATCAATCATATTCATCACAATCCGAATCAACATTATCTCAAACAGATACAAAGCAATTTCTACACGAAAATAATTCATTTATTATTAATGAAAATATTCAAATCGACACGAATGTTCAATTACCAGAAGGAATTTTACAAGATGATATTAAACGTTTTGAAAATATTTATAAAGATCATTGTCTTGTAAGTTAAACTATTTTGATTTTATTTTTAAGAAATTTAAAATATTTTCATTGAAGAAATTATTTGATGTTATAACAACATTAGATTTTGGGTCAGTTGAACAAATTTGGTTCAATTTTTGGTCTCAAACAGGAAGAGAAGAAACTATTCCAATGGCTTTATTTCATTCAATCTGTTCATTATATAATGTTCAAGAATTTATTAGAAATTCAGATTATCAATTATATCAACAATTAGTTGATCGATTGATTGTGGATATTTTATCACCAATGCCAAGTAAATCATTATTTTTTTTCATTTTCAATTCAATACTGAATAGAAGAACTGTTGCTTAGTAATATAATTAACCATGGGATAATCTTTATTTTATGTTCGATATTCCATATTGATTAGAAAATATTTTTTTTTAGCAAGTGCAACACAATCGATTCGAACATTTGGTAAAAGTGTCGATGGTTGGCTTCGTACAGCATTAGGTCATTTACCAGAACGATTGAAAACAATTAAATTAACAATCATAAATGCATTTGCAATGACATTAAGACGTTATACATCATTAAATCATTTAGCTCAAGCAGCACGTGCTGTTCTTCTTAATGCAACACAAGTTAATCAAATGCTAGCTGATTTAAATAAAGTCGATTTTCATAATGTTCAAGTTCGTTTCTTTTATTTTATTATCTATTAAAATAATTTAGTTCCTTTTTTTGTAGGAACAAGCATGGTGGGTTTGTGAATGTGATGATAATTTAGTTTCGCGTATTGAGAGAGAATTCAAAAATCATTTATCATCTCAATCAACATTAGAAGATTGGTCACAATGGCTTGATTCATTATTAAATGATCTTCTTAAACCGTATTCAAATTTCTCAGCAGAAAAATATACAAAACAAGCAAAACAAATCCTTTTAAATTGGTCTTTTTATTGTTCAATGGTTATTCGAGATTTAACATTACGTAGTGCTGCATCATTTGGTTCATTTCATTTAATTCGTCTTCTTTATGATGAGTATTTATTTTATTTAATTGAACATAAAATTGCATTACATACACAAAAAACTCCAATTGCTATTATGGCTGAAGTAAACTTATTTTAATTTCTCTTTAAAAAAATTCTTTATTTTTTTTTAAAGTTAACTCTTCAAAATAAATTATCAATTTATGATGGAATCAATTCATCAAATGGATTAGCATCAAGTATTTCCATTGAACGTCGAAATATTCAACCAAAAATCTCATTAGTTGTTAAAAAAGATACACTTTCACCAGTAAATATATTTATTAAAAATTAAAAGAAAACCTTTTTGTTTTATTTTCAATAGGCTCAAATATTAACATTATCTGGTTCAACAGTTCAATTACCAATCATTAATAAGTTAGTATCAGCCGCTAAATTAGCAAGTCAGCCAACATTAACAACAACAACAGCAACAATGAATTCGATTCAACAAAATGAAAAAGACAATAATAATTGTGATTCAGTTAAAAGACTTAAAACAACAGATGAACTTGTCGCTGTTTAACTTTTGTTTTTCTTTTGGTTTTCCTGTAAATTTATTTGTTCTGTATTAGATTCTGTCTCCTTTTTTTTGTGTCTTCAAATAAATAACCGTTCTCTTTTTATTAAGAAGAGAGTACACCATTTATTCAAGAAAAGAAAAATAATTTATTTAAGATAACTTATACGAGATAATAGATATTTTTTCATTTGTTGTAATTCTTCATCTTTATCATCGATCGTATTGATTAATTTAACTACGGATTCGAGTAATTCTTTAGCTTGTTTTCCTTGTCCTGCTTGATCATATTCCTTTGAATATATTTTAATTAAATCCAAGATAATTTGTTTGTAAAGTTGTTCATCAAATTGTATGATTCTTTCTGAACCCATTTTTTTGCAAGATTTCAATCGTCAATTTGATAATTATTTCCTTGTTGATCATAAATATAAATATGATAAACATTCGAATATGAAGCAATTTTTTTAAGAAATTCTTCATCTGCAAAACTATTTGATGTTAAAAAAGAATACATTTATCTTTTAATGATAATTCGATAGAATCTAAACAAGATGTTGGTTTATCAAATTGTTGAATGGGTGAAAGAAGTTTTCGAAATTTTTCTTTTAATTTTTGATTTCCACCAAGTAAATTACCCGTACGTTTATCTAACAAAATAAATGCCAATGAGTGCGATAACATTGATTGAGAATTTTTGTATTTTAGTTTTTTTTTCTTGATACTTTATGTAATGAACGTATAATATAAGAAAATAATCTTAGATTGAAAGAAGTATCGTATAATAATGACATTCAATTTCAATCAACCATTTGATTAATTTCTTCTCTTTACATTTGAAATTAAAAATTAAATTTAAGATAATTCAAGAAAAGAAATTTATTCAACTTGTAAATCAACTACATAGTCTCAGTCTCGTATAGAATGTCTCTTTATTGCTGAGAAATAAAAAACATAAAACAATAAATACAATTTGATCGTTGACTTTCATTGAATTCACCGATCGGCGTTAATGGTAAATTGATACAATAAAACGGGAAATTAACTCGACTAAATACGATTGCTCTCTCGTGAAGAAGTAAAATCGGAGAGTAATAAGATTTCTTTTTTCTGTTTAAAAAAGAACCTAATTTTTCAAGACAAATAGATGCTCGAATGCTTAGAGTATACCAAAATTGGTGGTGCCATTATCGTATTTTCATATAAGAAGCTTTAAGAAATATTTTTGTTGCGTTGTGATGAAGAAAACGATACTCTATTTTTCTATGCTATTTGATCCAACTTCAACGAATATCATTAATAATAATAATTTGATAGGAACTTACTTCGGTCTGTTTAACAAAACAATGGTGAATTATATTTTTGCAATAAATGAAGAACAAATATAGCGAAAAATTGGCGGTTTTTATCGTTCGAAAGAAGGGATAAAAACACATCAAATAATACATTACAGATTTCTTTTTAATTGATTTTCTTGAAAGCAAATCTACTCATGAGGGTGAGGGTGTAGATATCGGAGGAAATATATTCATTTCATTCACACTTAATTCCAATGATTTTTACCTTATTCGTTTCATGAGATATTTGTCTGCTGAAAATTGTCAAATGATATCGTTTTCGTTTCGATAGAACATTGTTTGGAAGAGAAAAAAAGCTTTAAGAAAAATAAAAGTTTTGAAGGAAGAACATTGGTCATTGTTGATAAGATTGTAGATATTTATATTTTGTTTCATTGAATAATATTCGAATGCAATTTCCGAATCAGAAATTCATCTCCTTGAATATTTAGGTAAAATTAATATATTAACGGATTATTTTTATTGATTGATTATTACAGATCAAGATATAACCAATTCTATTTATCTGAGATAGGAGAGGTATGTTCAGAATTCCAAAAAGGAAATTACCCATATTTCTGAAATTTCCATCAGCTCGATTACTATATAGCAGTACAAATCAAAAGTTTTTAGACATATTGGAAATTTCAGCAATTTTAGGAAGTAACGTTCAATTGCGAACATGAATGCTTGAAATCTCTGAAACTTCCGAAATTTCTTTTTTCGGAAGTCTGAACACTACTGGATAAACATATAAAAAGATTAGAAAAATAATATTTCTAAGAAACAATTCTGCTTGATTAAATCTTATTTCTATTATGTCTTATATTTATTTCTCCCTTTTCTCTTAAATTATTTTATTTTCTAGGGAACATTTTAACATGTTTATAATAATCTCAATTAGTTTTCGTCAAAGAGGAAATGATCGAATATATTGGTGATAAAGAACGAATCAAGATTCCGAACCAATCATAAATGTTAAACAAAATAAAAAACAACGTCAACAATACAAAAATTTATTATCTATTGTTTTTTTAATCATCTATTTATTCTTCTTTAACTAAAAAATAAAATTCAATGTTGTCTGGTCAATAACGAAAGATGACTGATATATTTATCTAGACTATTGAAACACCGATTGTTGATAAATAATTATCAAAGAATGGTTTAAATATAAGTAGAATCGAGCAAACAAAATAATTATTTGACTAACTGAACAAATAATATTGATTAAAATCTTGAAAAAGTCAAATGATTTCATTAGTGATAGAGATATGTATGGATCAAGAAAATATCCTCATCTATCGTGCACACACCTTCTTTGACTCTTATCAAGGAAATTATTCTTTTCCAGCACTTCTATATGAATTATTTTGTTTTCAATGTATGTAAGTTCACTTTGTTATCTTTGTCAATGTTTTCATATTATTTATAAAACAATGATATTTATTTAAGATAAGGAAAGTAAGTATTATATTGTTTAGGTAATTGCGATAAACCATAAAGATAAAGTTGTTTTACTTTTGAACAATTATATCGTGTTGTATTTCTTGTGAAATATTCTGTTACACGTTGTAATTGATCATAATGAATTGACAATTGAATATAATTTGATAGATAGGTTTTTGTATCAAGTAAAAATTGTTCAGCATAATCATCATGAACATGCACAAGATGAAGTTTAGTTAGATGATAATAATTAATAATTGAATATTTTCGATTTTCATTATTGGACTTTTGTTGCTCGGAATTAATTATAGTTAATTCTTTAAGAAAAGGAAATGATTGAGAAATTTTAATAAAAAATTCATGTTCAAAAAGACGTTCGTCAAATAATTCGATTTGTTGAACAGTATTAAATAATCCATCTGGACAATTATTAGTTAGATTTTCATAATATGTTAATGTAAATGGATATGAGTAAATATGACATTGACCATATTTTGATTTTGGAAAATAATCAACACAAGAAGTAACTTGATTGTCTTTGAAATTTATAAATGTACGATGAATATCTTCATTTGATGGAAAATAATTTAGATTTTCATAGTTAATCATTGATCGAATATTAAATATAAACTGATTCAAACGAGGCATATGACTTATAATATTCTTCTGCAAATTATTCCCATCTATAAATAAATCGTCGTAATCAGCCACAAAATATAAAGCCAATTTTTCCAGATTAATCATTCGTTGTAAATGTGGCACAATAACTTCATCATAAGCACATATTAAACTCTCGCATGTCAAGGAAACATGTTTCAAATTTGGTAGTCTTTCCTAGAACAAGAATTTATATGACCATTTCGTAGAAAAATTCACATTGATTTTCAAAATAATCTCTCTATAAGAATTTACCTTGTTGATAATCGATCTTTGAAGAGGAAGAATATGAAATGTCTTCACAAATAATATACGTAATTGATTGAAACGACCGTCGAGTAGAAAAAGACATTCATCAAAACGGTAGACAACTATATGTAATTCTACAAGAGTCGACGATAAAAAATTGGAGATTCTATACCAAATGATATATACGCTGTACCAATAGGTACTGATGTATAAAATTTGAAATGACGAAGTTTATTACAAATAATTAAGATATTCATAAAGATTTCTGCTTGTCGATTGATTTCCAAATGATCTCCTAGTAGATCTTCTTTTCCGTTAATATTTAGTGTCACAATTTGATTTTGAAAAATGTGAACTAGAGATGATGTATCTATATAGAAATATAAAACATTAATTCTCATCATCAAATCCTTCTTGTGTGTGTGTTTGTGCTTTTTTTTAAATCACTCGTCGCATAGTGTGATATGTTCACATATCCTACTAATTACACGTTGTCACTCTTGTTGAAAGAATAAACTTATTAGAACTCTTTTTCTTTGAATCGTTGTTTCGTTCAATATTCATCCTTATATTTCCGCAATAATTTACTCATCTAAAATAGAAAACTTTAAGTAAAATTTAGATAAGTAGTTACAGAATACTCTCGTTTCCTTGATGAAAATCCAACAAATGACGAACAACTCTTATTTAACACATTAAATTATGCTACTTTCTATTATTTAAAAAAAAATTTCTATTATATTTGTTGTGATAAGATTCTTTTGATCATGAAATATTCCTTGAATAACTTTATTTCTACTTCTCTATTTCAACTTGCAGATTAATTCTAATCATAATTCGTATGAAAACTTCCTAGTCGTCGTAAAAAGTAAATATTTGTGTATTGATAATAATTCTCTTATTCAATTATACAATATAATTATAATCCTAGTATTTACAAATATCAATGTCAATAAAACGAATCCTATTAATATTCGAATCATTTTTAACTATCTTTTCTTTCTCTATGCATATATATTCGTATCGTGTTTCTATGCAAGAGACAAGCAATTCAAATATTCACTAAGAGTTTTTTCTTGCATTTTTTTCACATTATTTGATACAATCTGACCTGAAAATCACAAAAGACTATTTTTTAGCGTTAGTAAATACTTTTTTCGGGTGAAAAAATACGAAAAACTGGAAGGATATTGTTGTCTTAAATAAAGGCATTCTTATAAAAATCTGCCATATATTTTGCTTCGTGCTTTTTCTAACCTGTTCAGAATATTTCTTCGGATACACCATCAAAAACTGCTTCGACTAATGTATATTTTCAACGTTTTCATCACCTTGAATTTTTTTTTGGTGAGAATCAGTTATTACTGTTTCAGGTGAAAACTAGAAAAGAACTGAAGTCATTCTATACGAGAAAATTCTACATCAGTCGAGTCATCTTTTAATGCTAATGTCCGAATATGAGAGTCTCTCTCCAAAAGATTTTATTTTTATATAGAAAGTTGAGAATTACAGCCAACAGAATTCAATCTATTCATACCAGAATTCATAATCAATGGATTCTCTCGGTAACGAAACATCATAGAACAAAAAAAACGAATCGTTCGTTTTGTGGCGAGTGCTATGTTACATTCAATGAAATAAAATATTTGATCTCATCACTGACGTTGAAAAACTATAGAGGTTTACAAAAAGCGACTTATGTACATAGCGCTGGGTGTGATTCTGAGTGGCACCGCAAAAAGATTTCGGGACTGAGAATGGGTCTAATAGCTTTTCTCAACTCACTTTTTGATATTATATCCGAAAAACTATTCTTAGTAGCTTTAAAAAACGAACGAAACAAAATATATGTCACATGTCGAGAAGGATGGATTTATTGAAGACAACGTCATCCTTACAGTTTTTCGTTTTTTTTTTAACCGAATAAATGATTTACTAACGGTAAAACGTATTTTTTTTGTAATCATCAGCTCATGCTTCATCAAATGACGTACAGAAATCTAATAAAAAATTTTTTTATTGGAAATTGACATTGCTTGCACCTTAAAGGTGAGATACTCATTTATGGAAACTTCTATATATATTTGTCTTGTTTACAATTGATATGGCACATTTTATTAAATATATATGATGAAAATATGTTCATTTTCAATGTAAAACAAATATGTTCTCTATTAATTTGTCAATGTCTATTGTATGATTAGATTATTAAAATAGTCATAGTGGAATATCTTACTAGTAAATAATTGCATGTCAGTTTCTGTATTCATAATAAATATATCTAATTGTCTTAAATTCAAATAATTATTAACAGCAAGAAGAATACGTTCCATAGATAATGTTTCAAGTTTGAGCCATTGGATTTTGTCATGAATTTTTGGTATTATTTCTAGACAAAATCGATCACGTACAAAATCAGGTAATGGAGAAGTGAGTTTAACTGATGTGGTTTGTTTCATCAATGTTATTTCCCTAGTGAATATCGGATCATATACAATTTGATTGAGTCGCTTGCTAATATCCATTAAAGAATAAAGTATTTCAACATTTTTCAATTTCTTGAAAATAATTAATAGAAGCTCGTCGGGTAAATCACATAATTTAATATGTTGACATTCCATATTTATGTTAAAATTGACTTTTTCTTATTTTATTTATAGTTCATCCATTTTGACTGATTCTATTTGACCGTATCCGTCAAATATAACAATGATGTTTTCTTCTCGCCTGTCGAAAAATCAATTGCATACAGATGGTCACATTTTTTTCTCTTTCCTTCTCATTATCAATGCATACAATTAGGAAGGAGGAGAAACAGAGAGATGCGAGGAAATTTTTCTTAGAGATTATATCTTTCTAGAAGGTTAATTATTTTATGTGAGTATAGCGCTTTTCAAAGTTTCTTCAAGTCGAATGAACTGTGCAAAACAGTTCATTTTTTCTTCGGTTGTTCAAAGACGACTATGTATTTTCTTTTACGCAAAAAGACTTCTCTCGATATTGTCTCCTCTACGACCAAGTGGCCAATTTTCAAGCAATAAACAGTACTAAGATAATTACTTAGGTACACAACGATTACAAATAGAACTAGTTATTGTTTGATTAAGATAAATGATCAACTGAGTAATTCGGAATAACTAAATATATGATAGTAAAAGAAAATCGAGAGAGAGTTCGAATAGAAAATAAACTTACAAGAAAAATCAGCTAAGCCTAAACGATCAACTGTCTTAGGTTTTCAGAGAAAAGAAATCAACTATAAAGATAAACTGAGTCAGATTCAAATTAAATCAACTCCGTTTTTGGAAGGTAATATAGATAAAACATGCACGAGAAGATCATCGGAAACAAGGTTTGTTCATCAACTTAAATGATATTCATATAATCTATATCGAAAAAGATAACGTAGAGGAATCTGACTCAATATCTAACGAATCTACTTAAGTATTCTGTGCGCAGCTAGAATAAATAAGAGATCGCCTAATCAAAATATTAATCAAGAAAAATAATGATAATAATCATCAAGAAAAAACAAGTACAATCACATTTGTGATAAAGAGTTGGTAGAATGAGATTATCGTTGCCTTTTTTCCTTAGTATTGTCCTAGCCTTTTTTGGTTTTTATGCCATCATTCTAAACTTCAGAATCAAAATAATGTTCGCATGACTTCTTTACTTCTCATTGTTTTACTAGTTTCTTTTGATATTAAACTGATCCATTGTATTTGAAAAAAACGAAATTATAGATTCAAAGTTTTATTAAATGAAACACATTATTGATCATCATTCAGAATTCGACAGAGTAATTAAATATTTCTTTCATCTGAATATTTTTCAATCGGATTTATTGGTAAATAAATACTGATCAGTAGAATTATGGCAACACATGTATATTCTATTACGGTGATCATGAATATTCAAACGATAACCATGGTTTATACAGATTTATTGTTCAGCTCTACAACATATCTCAAATCCGGATTGAAATTCTTTAGTTTATAGAAGAAATAGAGACAGATATATTCTAGTTAGATAGACGTCAAAAGAAATCATCTGTGGACTCTTGTTGACTTTACAAAACCTTATTTACTATATATTATATTATATTGTATTGAAATAGTTCATATTGTCCAATATGTCATGTTCTATCTTTCAATATATAGCATGAAAAATTTCAATTATCTACTGAGATACAAATAGGGAAGTGCGTAACCGACTTTTTTGGTCACGATCACTGATAAAAGAAAAAAGTTAGCTCTGACCACGGTCACGGTCACGGTCATGGTCACGAGAAAATTTTTTATTAGTCACGACCACGGTAACGTGGTCACAGTGAAATTTTTAAGATGTGCCTTATATTTATTTCGAGAGGCATGAGACATCTATCGATTGAACAGTAGTAATGATTCCGATGACTTAACTAATATTCATGACGATATAATCTGATGGAAAATATAAACAATTGTTAACCATTTGATGTCTCTAGTTTTGATATTGATTAGAAATTTTTGTATTTTATTAAGGACGGGGGTCGATAAGACCCGAAATCGGCCCACGGCAAATTTGCTCTCATTTCCACACAGAATGGTTCCTAATGATACGAAAAAATGTTTTTCAACGAAATCCACTGAAAAAAACTTTATATTTTGCCGGCAGCGCAAAAAT